TATATCCCATAGATATCAATTGCTGTGTGGGACATATATTAAAAATAAAAATATAAGTATTAAATAACCTAATTTAACCTAACAAAAATATAATTATTTAAAATGAAAGAATCCTAATAATCACAAAGTATTATCGATGTTACAACCCAATCAAAACCATAACGTTGATTCAAGGTTGATTTGACGTCGAAATGATCGATGAGCCGTTGAATCAATGTTGATTCAATCCTCATCGGCGTCGAGTCAACTGTGAATCAACATGTGGTTCTGGCTGGGAATATCAACTTAATCAACTTAATATAATATATTACGTAACTGTTACTTTGTTGTACAGGGTGTCTGATCCAGTGCTGGGATTCTGTAACTTCTTATTGGAATTAACGACAGTTTCGTTATCGTTGTACAGCTTTTGTACATCGTAGAAAAGTTACGCAACGATAACGAAACTATCGTTAACTCCAAGAACAAGTTACAGAGTCCCAGCACAGAACTGATATAGTTAGAATAGGTCGGGGTGAGTAGTGGAATCGGTATAATTTTTTTAAACAACCACGTAAAATTTTGAGTTATTAAATAAAGTATATGGATAATCAGAGCGCGCGACGCGGCAGGCGAAGAAAATGGACGATTGCTCGCGAGCCTATCTTATTTGGTAGCTGCTATCAAACAGCCCACCTCTCTGGCCTATGGCCTGAGACAGGTCCGCGAGCAATCGTCCATTTTCTTCGCCGATCGTGGCGAATCGTACGTTCCGCTTGACAAATCGCCGCGCTCTGATTAGCCCATCTACTTCATTTAATAACTCGAAATTTTACGTGGTTATTTAAAAAAAGACACCGATTTCATTATTCACCCCGACCTATTCTAGCTATATATTAGCTCTGGTATAAATCAGATACTCTGTATAACAAAATAACAGTTACATAATATATCATATGATTGAGTTGACATTGTAATATGAATGATACTTTGTGTTTACTGGGAATAGGATAGACAAATGTACCACAATTCAAGAATTAGGAATCAGGAATAAAAATGACATGATGTTAGATATAAGAAATTAATCACATTTTAAGCATAAAATATACGTAATATTTAACCCAGTAAGCAAGAAATCATTAATATAATGTTACTACAATGATATTCAAGAACCTATAATATTGTCAAATATGTAGTGTTTAATATTGTATCGAATATCATTATGAACATATTTTGATCGTGATTTGGAAGTTTCAATAATGTTGAAATAGGGTTGCCGTAACGTTTTAATCGTCAGAAATATTCTTAAGATGTTGCATTGATTTCAAATAAATATTAAAGTAACATATGGAAAATATATTTTTTGTAATGTTTTTAAAACGTTTAAACAACATTCAGAAAAATTATATTGCAAAATAACATGTGAAAAATATAAATGCAATATTATTAAAAAATGTCCAAACAATCTACATAAAGTCAACGTTTTTAAACGATAATTTAATGTTCCTTGCCCAGTAAGCAAGAAATTATTAAGATAACGTTACTTTAATGATATTCATCAACCTGTAATATTGGTCAAATATGTGGTGTTTAATATTGTATCGAACATCATTATGGACATATTTCGACCGCGATTTGGAAGTTTCAATAATGTTGAAATAGGGTTGCCATAACGTTTTAATCGTTAGAAATATTTTTAAGATGTTGCATTGATCTGAAATAAATGTTAAAGTAGCATTTGAAAAATTTAGTTTTTAATATTTTTAAAACGTTTAAATAACATTCAGAAAAATCATATCGCAAAATAACATATAAAAAATATAAATGTAATATTATTAAAAAATGTCCAAACAATGCATATGAAGTCAACGTTTCTAAACGTTAATTTAATGTTCCTTGCTTACTTGGATGTTTACTTAGAAAATATTTCTATTTCTAGGTTATATTCTAAAACATTCCTTTCGAAGAAAATTTTACTGAAAATTCATAGTAAATATAACATAAACTATAGATTTTAGTAAAATTTTCCTGAGAAAGAACATTTTGGAATACAACTCTAATATTTTCTCCATTGCACATGACAATGTAAAAAATATTAGGTCCTTAGGATTCCTCAAGGTCACTTCGTTGTTACAAAAATTTATCCTAATGATCTTTAATATTGCCTTATCTGTGGCAATACTAAACGTTAAGAAATGAATATAATAAATCTGGAAATTTGTAAGCCTAATTCTAATCTATTTCTCAAGTAGATACAGAATCCACCAAGATCACTTGTTTAAGATAGGTAGTAAACAAGAAATGTCTAATTTTTTCTCAGAGGGAGAAATAAATAAAGTCATCGATTTGGCATCGATAAAGATTGGTAATTATTCAGAGTGCTCATTGGATATGATGGATCCAATAGCTTTTGTAACCCCTACAGGAACACTGGAGCAAGAGTTTATGGAAAATACTGTCTTCATGGATCATACACGTTGTAAGAAACAATTACTAATCTATGAAATTAAATGAAATTCATTAGCATGCATGAATAATGAACTTATATGAACTTATATGAAACTTATATGAATACTCTGTGAGAAATGACTCGTCGACCGATGTCGAAACGACGTCGAATCAACATCTTTTCGATGTCGATCGACGAGTCATTTCTCATCGAGTCACTGAGTGTTGCAAGAATGATTTTTCTTTAGCACATCTAATATGTTCCGGTTCTCTGAGCCCAAATGGTGAGCTAGCCATAACAGGCAATACAGACGGTCTAATGTACATTTGGGATACTAATACAGGAAATAATATTCATATAATAAAATGTGGTGGGTATAACTACCAAAGCGTTACATTCGCAGAGTTCAATCATGATGGAACCTACATAGCCACTGCAAGTTATGGCAAAATAGGTTTCATAAAAATATGGGAAGTAAGCTCTAAAACTAATTTCAAGGCGATGCCCATAGATGAATTAGTCGTGAGTATTCTTACTTATCAAGAAAGCATGCATTCCTGTACGAATCAATAATGATAATTGTGTTTAATAATCGTTCTTTTGCTATCTAGTTGGTAAAATCATCATTCAGCCAATATCTTATTAGCAATGAATAATGGTGAAGATACTTATATGTTGAACTTTCTATCAAAGGAGGAAGTAACAAAGGAGCTAATTTATGCAAAGCATGCAATTTCCCCGAAATGTGGTATTATTTACCCAGATGGTACGTATCAGAATATTATCAGAATATTATCAGTTGAAAACACCAGATTTAAATTCATATATTGCAGGAAAATTTGTGGTAGGATGCCAATATGGTCCAAAGTACGAAGGAAACTACTATGGCGAATGAGATGTTATTTGGTATAATATTAATTACTTTTGGTTTTTAATTGAATTAAATTAAAAGTTAGTTCACTATAAAATAATTAAGTTTACGTTAAAAGTTATTGAAATAAAATACTAACTTAGTTAAAAATTGAAAAGTTAAAAAAAAGAAGTTACTTATGGAAAACTTAATTATCTAAAACTATATATGTATATACAGGGTGTCCCGCATAAAACATCCAACAAGAAAAATATAAGAAAAACAGATAAAAATGAACAAATATTGTAGAGATCATTTTTCAAACAACTACGTAAAATTTCGAGATATTAATTAAAATAGTTAGGAATAGCAGAGCACGCGACGCGGCAGGCGGGATATACGGCTCGCCGCGGCTGGCGAAGAAAATGGACGAGCGCACACGTACACGGACGCACACACGGAGTTTCCCATGCTACATTCGGAAACACACACTGTGTGCACACTACTAGACGATAGCCGTTGGAGTGAGCGAAATACAAGAGTGAGATAAAAAGAAAGGGAGAGTACTCAAGTGACGTTTCCGAACGCAGCCTCAGTATGCCAAACGGCCCACCTCTCTGGCCCGCGAGCAATCGTCGCGTCGCGCGCTCTGATTTGCCCAAATATTTTAATTAATATTGTAGCGGAAATGTCGAGATTCCGGCTTAGCAACAAGCCTGAATATTCTAGAAGCTGATAGTCAGCTATCTCCTCGGCGTAGCGAGTCCTCGTAACCGAGGAACTGCGAGAGTTTGTTACGTTGTCAAGGGGCGATCGTCCCGGAGTTTTATTGTTTCTCTCTCCTCCAGGTACGATCTGAGTTTCAGTTTCTCTTTAGCTATTGTGAGGTGCATCTCATTCGTTATCACGTTTTGCTAATCGATATTGAGATTTTCCGTCAAAAGTAAAAGTGAAAGAGCTGGCATTCACCTCGAGTGGGGAAAAGAGAGATACATTCACAGGTTTTCTCCTGCGGCTATTCGCCGCCCTCTCCGACGTCGGCGTTCCTGCATCCTGCGCCTCCTGCGACTATCCGCCGCCCTCTCCGACATCGGCGTTCCTGCATCCTGCGCCTCCTGCGGCTATCCGCCGCCCTCTCCGACATCGGCGTTCCTGCATCCTGCGCCTCCTGCGGCTATCCGCTGCCTTCTTCATGTTTGACATGCCTGATATTAACAGTCATTCCTGCGGCTGTTCGCTGCTTTCTCGCATTTTAGTAGTTTTTAAAAAATAAACTAAGTGTGTTACTCGTTCTAAAAGTATTCGGGAATCTTTCATTAATTTTTCTCTTTTCGAACAGTATTCTCTTTATACGTGTTATAACATATTTTTGGTCCTTCGAGCCGGATTATACGCAAACTTCGCGTGTGCAGATAGTACGCAAACATCGCGTGTGCAATTAATGCTCAAGTGCAGTTTGTGCGTGCGGTTTTCACGTACAGTTCGTGCGTGTACTTCGCGTGCAGTTCGTACGTACAGTTTACAAGTACAGTTCGCTTGTGCAGTGCGTGTGTGCAGTGCATGGTGCAAGAAACTATTCGAGATTTGATTTTTTAATACCACGTCATCATGACAACTTTTGAGGCGAGAATCATCCTGCAGCAGAGTCGATTTAACTTAATCGAGCAAGCAGCTGTTGAATCTTGGAACCCATCATCAACTCCGCAGTCCCGATAGCTGATAATGACCCGACTACAGGTTTTGGAGCAGAACTGGGATAAATTCCACACCGATCACGAAAGTATTTGTCAGGAGAGCCGTGAATCGTTGAAAGATCAACCATATATAAAAACGAAGATGTACGAGCGGTGTCAAGCATTTTATGTGCATGCACGCGCGAGTCTTTTGAGTCAACGTGACGATTTAGACTCTCGACCACCGACGAGTTCAACTCTTTTCACTACTCCTATTGCCTCTATGTCATCTCATCGCGTCGCGTTGCCCAGGATCACTATGCCGCAATTTTCGGGAGAATACAAGTATTGGGTGCCCTACCGCGATTTATTTTCTTCATTAATTGGCAACAATCCTGATCTAAGTAACGTTGAAAAAATGCACTACTTGAAGACCAGCCTCTCCGACCAGGCCGCGCTACTTATATCAAATCTATCAATTTCGGGCGAGAATTTCACGATCGCGTGGGATGCTCTTGTAATGCGATATGAAAACAAGAGGTTCCTTATCGCTGCTCAGTTAGATAAGCTCTCCAATCTGAAGCCGTTGAAACCACGATCAGCTCGAGGACTTAATTTATTTCTCGCCACTATTAACGAAGCTTTGGGAGCTCTTCGTGCGCTGGGCTGCCCGATACATTACTGGAATGATTTACTACTACATCAAATAATCAAATTATTAGATCCTAGCACCCGTGAAGCGTGGGAAATAAAGCTAGGCCCCACCACGATATCCCCAATTTTTGCGCAATTTGAGGAATTTTTAACGGGTCGAGCTCGTGCATTAGAGAATTTAGAACTACATGCGCCCAATACCATTTCAGTGCGGGAGCGTTCTAATTATTCAAATGCTCGAATTTTCATACCGGTTAGGACTAATTTAGCCACATCTAACGGATCTAAGAAAGACAAAGCCTGTATTCTATGTAAAAGGTCGCACTTTCTTATCAGCTGTCCAACGTTTCAAGCTAAGTCTACGCAGCAACATTATGATTTTGTAGTCTCACAACGACTTTGTTTCAATTGCCTGGGCGCTCATTCAGTTATAAATTGCCGGTCGGTAAGACGATGCTTTCGATGCGGTAAAAAGTATCATACTTTGATATACCAGCAGCACTCGAACTCGCTTAGCCAGAGCTCTTCGTTCGCATCATCGACCAGCGTTAATGCTCGTGAAAATGCTTTTTTTTTTTTTTTTTTTTTTTTT